CGCCGCCTCCTGGCCAGGCTGTGTCGGGAAGTCCAGGCCCATGATGCCAAAGTCGTCGATGTACTCGTAGTGCGCAGCAGGTAGCTCCCGACTGAGATGGGGTAAAGGCCCGCCTTCGGCCAGACGTTGGCCGTCTGAAAGCGAGGAAAGCCCAACCTGGGGCCCAGTATTGAAGATGTCCTCCATGGTCGTCTGAGCCATCCAGCACGTCCAAGAGAAGCCCATCAAGGCGACCTTCACTCCGACGTAGGGCCCGCTCCCAGGCAGCGACGAGCCTTCGGGGAGCAGCGCGTCCAGCTCGTCGCCAGACACGCTGGGCAGCACGAAGTACGGCGCCAGCTCCTCCCCCAGCTCCAGCGTGCAGTAGAAGTCGGGAAGGTCGCCCGTGCCGAAGCGCATGGTCACGCCATCCTCCTTCATCTCCTCGGACACGTCCAAGAACGACATCGCACTGACACCGCCCATGGCACACCACGGGGGAGACCGCCATCGCATGTTGGAGCGTCTCTGGTCGAACACCAAGCTCAGCGTCACCTCGGGCTCGTTCTCCACAAGCTCCGCCTTCTTCACGACGCAAAAGAGCCCGACCTCGTCCACCTTCACTGCAGTGTGGCACAGCATCCCCGCTAAAGCCATCCTTCGGGCCAGCTGCAACATCTCCTTCTTCTTGCGGAAATGCGGGTCCACGTAGTTGCGTATCTCGCAGGCCTGAACACAAGCTTCGCCATCCTCTCTCAACATCTCCTCCTTGAACATCTCCAACTTCTGTGCCACGCGAGGCGACGCAGACCTCACACTCACAGGTCTGGTCCCCGGGGGAGGTAGGGCAACTCGGTCCCATTGAGCTGGGAACGTCTCGCCCCTGTCCGGCAGCCGTCTACTTCCGCCAGCACTCCTCCTAAGAAGTTCGGCCACCCTCTGCTTGAAGGTGGACTGGGACTGATTGCCCGCCGCAGCGGCGGCAGGGCGCAGCCGCAGAAGCGCGGCTCCTTGTGAGGGTGTAGTCGACGGCGGCGACTGGCGACGAACTTCTCCCAGCACCCGCCGAGAGGGGTCCCCGTCCAAGTTGTCGGGCACGATCCCCTGGCCCCAGCTGTCGGCCAGGTCCAGTAGACTGTCGTCCAGACTCCCACGTTAGAGCTGACGCAACGCCAAGAGAGAACGGTTCGCCGTCTCGACCAGCTCCATCTCCTCCTTCCAGCGCGACAGCACCCGACGAGAAGTCGAAGCGGGTCGCTCTGGGCGAGCGAACAGCACCACCTCGGACAGGATGTCCCGCCGCCGAGACATGAAAGCCCAAATTCGTCGTGCAAAAGCTCAAGGGCCAGCCGACGGCGATGATGCGAGTCAGCTGCAGCAAAAAGAATACACTAGCCAAAACAAGCCGACGCGCAGGGACACCACGACGCCAGCTGCAAGGGCCCCCCGCTCGACACCGAGTGGCCCCAATTCAAGCTCCTTGACTCTCACGGCGGGGCCACCGCACCTCCGTCCAGGTCGGAGCGCGCCTTCATCAGCTGCGCGTCGCGACTCATGGCCTTCTTCATCTCTTCCTCGGCGCTCGTCACCCGAATAGTGCTCTCGTCGGCGAGCTGAGGGTCCAAGCGACGCGCCGCCTCCCAGTCCACCTTCGACTTCCATCTTGGCATCCTTGGGGCGGCTCCAGTCGTCGCGGCTGTTGACGTTGTGGTAGGCCCTCACGATGGCGTAGCCCTTTCGCACCAGCCGCTCGAAGCTCACCAGGTTGAGGAGCCCCCTCTGACGATCGGTCATCAGCATCGTGTCCACCGCGGCGAAGGCCGCGATCATCTCCCGCGCCGTGTTGCAGTCGCTCAGGCCGCGGTCCCTGATGAAGTCGCGCGCCCAGGCCTCGGCCGTCTTTCCTGACGAGTAGATCTCCAACAGCACCTCGGCCGAAATCCGCTGGCGGTAACCCTCGGGCATACGGCTGTTCCACTCCTCGGGCTCGATCTCCTTGTACTCGTCCAGCTGCTCCATGAACACCTGCTGCGGCAACTGAGCCTTGAAGCGCATCCGCTTGATGGCCAGCTCGACGGCCTCCGGCTGAGAAGTAGCAGCCCGCTTCTCGGGCGTCTCCATCAACGCTGTGGGGGTACTCTTGACGGGCGACCCGAGCACGGCGACTGCAGAAGCCGAAGAGCCCATCCCCTCGATCGCGGCACCATGCTCGCCAGCTCTTGCCTCCACAGGAGCCTCCCCCTTCAGACGAGCCTCGAATCGGTCCAGACGAGCAATCATACCTTCGATCACCTGCTTGTTGGCCTCGGCGTCCGCGCGACCGCGCGAATCCAGGGAAGCTTCGAGTACGTCTCGACGCAGCTCTCTCGACCTCTCGGCGGTCCTGATCTCGCTGATCTCCTCCATCATGGCCTTCTGGGACTCCACGAGATCGTTCAGATGGCTCGCCAACGCAGCACTCTCCCCACCTGAAAGATAGCCAGGCGGCGGCAAGGGCGAAGGCACGGAAGCAGTCTAACCGACGGGCACGTCCACACTCGAAGCGCTTGAGGACCCAATCGAGGACTCTCCGTGCTCCCCACTGTCCGAACACTCGTGGGCCGCCCAGATGGTCAGAAGTATCAGAGCCAAGAACATTGCAAACCACCGCTGAAGAGGCATGAGCTTCTGAGCCCACTCCTTCCACTCCCACAGGTAGGTGGCCCACTCCTGGACGACCTCCGAGCTCTCCACGAACGCGTCCTTGGCCGTGACTATGTAGCTGATCGTGTACACCCATATCTCCTTCATATACTCGATCACGCCCAGCAACACCAGCAGCTCGTACAATACGAACAACGCGGCCAGCACACCCAAGAAACACTTGGGACTCCTCAAAGACCACCTCAGCGTCTTGAGCGATGAAGCCCCCGAGCTGAAAACGGCATACAGGACTTTCACCGCCATCGCCTGCTGACCACCTCTGCCGGGGCGGTACAGAGGCAACATCGGCACCGTGGACGCCCTCAAACCCTCCGTCGCCTGGCTGACGTAGGCGTCCTTCTGAGCTGATGAAAGAGGGGGCATCGGCCGCCAGCGGATCCCCGCCACGGGGTCCGTGAAGATAGACGTATGCAGATCAGGCCGAGAGTCAAGTCCGGGCCGATGACGGCCCACACATTGCCGCTCTTGCGGCGCACCAGCTGCACCTCCACACCGTCGGTCGCGCTCAGGCGGTAGAAGCGGCGAGACCATGGCTCCACTGGCATCTGGATCTCGAGACCCTCGGGCACGACAACCGAATCCTGCTCCACGATCGGATCACTCACCAGAGAGAAGAGCGACCACATCAGGAGCCCGAAAGGCCAGCACCCGAAGCGAGCCGTCTCGTCAGCGCCCTCCAGCGCGCTTCGCGGCAGGTCCAGCACCTGCCAATCGTCGGAAGACTCCAGACCGACCAGCTCCCACGAAGAGCCGCCCGAGCTGTCGGAGTTGCCCGCGCTGCTGCCGCACGGGGAGCAAAGGAGAAAGAACTCGGGCGAGGCCGCGGGAACTCCCGCGGGCATGCTCGAGCCAAAGAACTTGAGCGGAGAACACAAACATAACGTGTTATGTCAGAACGGCGCTCCCTGACTTTGCGCCGCCCCCGCCCTCCCCGCCCCGCCGACCACTTAGAAGACAGGGGAGGGGGAGGAGGAGAGAGGGCCACGGCCCGAAAACTTCATTGTTTGCAACAACACACACGACCCCGCCCGAAGGATTTGCCCTCCATTCCCATGTGGGGGGGCGTCGGGGAACATTTTGAAAACAAAGTGAAAATGACCCCGGCGAAGGACCCAACCATATGCAGTTGTGGGTACCGCACTTGTGACTATCTTCTTCGGTGGTGCTCCCTATGGGGCCACGAAGCGCTGCACCGGGTGGAGGGGAACGCATGCGGGCGGTAGCACTGGGGCCGTCGGTCAGCTCCCTATGGCGCCACGAAACGTTGTATTCGGTGGGGGACACGCATGCGGACGGTAGCACTCGGGCCTTCGGTGGAGCTCCCTATGGGGCCACGAGACGCTGTACTCGGTGGGGCACACGCATGCGGGCGGTAGCGCTGGGACCTTCGGTGGAGCTCCCTATGAGGCACGCAGCGTGTGAAGGGTGTGGGGGACGCATGCGGGCGGTGGCACCGGGGCCGGTGGAGCTCTCTATGGGGCCACGAAGCGTGCGAGGGGTGTGCCGAATTGGGTTTTCGGGACGCATGCGGGCGGTGGCATTTGGGCCTTCGGTGGAGCTTCCCATGCTGCCACGAAACGTGTGAGGGGTGTGCCAAATTGGGTTTTCGGGACGCATGCGGGCGGTGGGACTGGGGCCTTCGGTGGAGCTCCCCATGGGGCCACGAACCCTGTGAGGGGTGTGCCAAATTGGGTTTTCGGGACGCATGCGGGCGGTGGCACGGGGGCCTTCGGTGGAGCCCCCTTTATGGGGCCACGAAACGTGTGAGGGGTGTGCCGAATTGGGTTTTCGGGACGCATGCGGGTGGTGGCACTGGGGCCTTCGGTGGAGCCCCCCATGCTGCCACGAAACGTGTGAGGGGTGTGCCAAATTGGGTGTGCGGGAGGCATGCGGGCGGTGGCATTTGGGCCTTCGGTGGAGCTCCCCATGGGGCCACGAAACGAGTGAGGGGTGTGCCAAATTTGATTTTGGGACGCATGCGGGCGGTGGCATTTGGGCCTTCGGTGGAGCTCCCTATGGGGCCACGAAGCGTGTGAGGGGTGTGCCAAATTGGGTTTTCGGGACGCACGCGGACGGTGACACTGGGGCCTTCGGTGGAGCTCCCTATGGGGCTCCCTATGGGTGAAACGCAGGGAGGAGGGGGAGGGAGGAAGGAGGGAGGAGGAACGCGGGGACCGTCTCTTCAGAACGAGGAGCCAACACCACAGGATGGTTGGGAAACACAGATGGAACCCGCGCCCTTCCCCAAGCCCGAAATTCAGATCATCGACATGGGTCGGGGTGGTCTGATATGTAGTCACAATCCTGATCCTGGAGAGGAGGAGCACGTGTACTGGAACGCGCACGTCGACAAGGCGAACGTGGCGTCGTACCCCGGCACCTGACGCCCTGGAAGACAGTGCCGTGAGAGCATCACACCCAGCTCTCCCGACCCTCTCCGACTGCGCCGCTCTTCTCGAGCTGGGCCGGGCCCCGCGAGGGCCTGGACGCCCGAGGCGCGTGCAGCACGCCCCTCCCTCTCGGTGGTGTCACGACGTCGGGTATTGGAGGGCCTCTCCAGCGCAGGTCCGCTCAGAGACACGTCCCCGGACCCCTTTGGGCCGTGACGCGCGCGCGCGCTCAGCCTTCGGCGGCGGGGGGCCTCCCGCGAGCACTCCGCGAGTCGCGAGCGGCACGAAGGCGTGCGCGCCCATGAACTCATTCGCACACTCGCACTGGTCTCGGGAGAGCGCGCTACGCGACAGGAGGATGGGCAATGACGTCGAACCCTACCCTTACACACTTGGGGGGGATTTTGATCACGCCCCCACCCCCGAAATCCATGCTGATTCCAATATGGGTGATAATCTGGGGATCCGGATATTTCCGTCCAATCAAGCCCCCTACATTGCCGCAGGGGTGGGAGGGAGCATTTTGCGCCGCAGGGTCCGAACTAGTTGCACATGCACGGGATCGCTCGCGGCGAGAGGGCGGCCCTCGCAAACCCAGGGGGGGGGTCGGCGGCGAGCCCGGTGAGAAGGGGCAGGCCTTCTCAGAAGGCTCCGACGCTCCCCGTCTCTCTGAGAAGGTTTCTTGGCCTGCCTCGAAGATCGGGCCGGACGAAAGGTGGGGATTGGGAAAGGGGGGAGTACGACATCTGCTGCATGCAGCTGGTCTCGGCCCCACCGAGGGGCCCATTCCTCGATACATGGGCGCCTCCGGCGCCGGGAGGTGCCCCGCGAAAATCCCCCCCCCTTTGCTATCCCCCCCTTCGCCCGGCCCGAGAAGATACACAAAACTTCTCAGAAGGTGCGAGGGCTTCTGAGAAGTCCCGCCGCCTTCTGAGAAGGCCCTCTCCTTCTAATTTCCCCCCGCTCGCCGCCGAGGGGGGCCATGTTCGTGTGCGTCATTCTCGGGGCCCCGTGGTAAACCGCCGAACTCCTGCGGAGCCCAGAGGCTCGGCCAAGGTACGACTACGCCGCGCTGCTCTACCTGAGCACGCAGGCCCCGCGCCGGGGATGTGTCCACGTGTGCCGATCTTGGGCGGCGAGCGAGGGGGGGAAGTGAGCTGGCGGAGGCCTTCTCGGAAGGCGGCGGGGCTTCTCAGAAGCGCTCCAGCCTTCTCAGGAGTTTCCCACGTCTCCGGGGAAGGCGTAGGAAGCCTCTCAGAAGGCCGGGGGACTTCCGAGCCGTCTGGGACGGCCCGCCCCTCCTCGCTTCCCCCCTGGACTTGCCGCCGCGTGGGAGTTCTGCCCCCCCCCCCCCCCCGGGTGGACCTCGGGGAGCACGGGGTGAGGAGGCCCTCCCGCCCGTCGGGGGCGGGGAGGTCCCCCTTGCCGCGGAGCGCTCCTCGAGGTGCTCGGGGGGCGGGCCTCCGGATGGGCGGGCGTGGCTGCACGCAGGGTGTCGAGGCAGGGGCCACTTCTGCCGCGGGAGGCGCCCCGGTGCTCGGGGACGGCTCCTCGGATCTGGGTCGGGGAGCCGGCTCGAAGCCGAGGCTCGCCGTGGCCAGAAAAGCACCCCGGTCCCGACTCGGCGTTCCGAATGGTACAGGCGAGCCGGGTTGGCAGGTCGACCCTGCCAAGTCAAGGGTGCCCTGGTGTCCTGTGCCTCGCGACCCAGGCCCCTACATTCATACGGCAGTGTGGCCCTCGGAAGAGTCTTCTGTCCTCTCGCGTGTCCTCTTCAATCCACCCCGATGGTAGCGCGATGGCTGCGGATCCCCAGCGCGGGCCCAAGGGAGAGCACCACGAGGGCGGCGACTTCGCCTTCATCGACGCGGACGTGGACTGCGTTGTCTCGCCGAGGAGGGGGCGTCTCCTGGCCTTCACGGCGGGGCCGGAGAACCTGCACCAGGCAGTGGCGGGTGTCCCAAGGAAATTCTCCCCCCCATTGCCATGGGGGAGGAGGCTGGCGAGGAGGAGGAGGAGGAGGAGGAGGAGGGGGTGAAGGGCCAGGACGAGGAAGAAGGGAGGCGGGAACCGAGGATGCCATATCCTGATTACTGTTCCTTCTGCTACTTCTCTTCCTTCCCCCTCCCCCGCTCGTTGTCATCTCCCCCCCTCCTCGCCCGCCCTCCCGCATCCCCCCCATACTTCTGTATTTATCCTCCGTCCCTCTCCGCATTGTCCCTCCTCATCCCAATATTTCTCCCCTCCATTCCCCTCCTCCCCTTCCCCCATCCTTCTCGGTTGGCGGGGGCCTGAGAGGCCCGGCGCGTTCCTTTGTACACTGGCGCCTCCCTCCAGCGCCGGGAGGCGCTGGGAAGATCAGCTACATGACCTGATTCAGCAAAACTCCTTTACTCCTTGCTCCCCCCGCCCCCCTGTCGCCCGCCCCGAAGGTCCTGTCACGTCTCCTCCTCCTGCTCCGCCCTCCCCCACCCTCCTCCTCGAGGTGAGGCGGGTTACCCGCGGCACCCGGTTCGTGCTGGCGATGTGGTTCACTTTGTCGGAGAAGCACCGCGGCGACTGAGCGCACGCGCTCGGGCTGGGGGGGGGGGGCCGCGCTCCGCCTCCTGATGATCGGGCGACAAGGGGGGGGGGGATGAGGAGGAGGAAGAGAATGGTTGGGAGGATAAATGTCTCGTTCGGAAAATGTTGGATGGCACTGGGTGGTTCGAGGAGTTGCGATTCGTCACGGGCGTTCCGGGGATGCCAGAGTGGGGGAGGAGAGAGGGAGATGAGTTGCAGCAGAGAAGGAGGAGGAAGATGAGGAGGGGTCCCCAGCTTGCGAGAAAGAGAGAGAGAGAGGGAGAGGGGAAGCGGTGCAGAAGTACAGAAGTAGGAGGAGCACGAGGACGACAATGAAGCCGAAAACGAGAGCGACGACGAGAAGAAGAAGAAGAAGAAGGAGGAGGAGGAGGAGGACAAGGGCAAGGACAATGATGGACGAACAGGCCGACGAGGAGGAGAAGGAGGAGGAGGAGAAGGGGGAGGAGGGGGAGGAGGGGGAAGAGGAGGGGGAGGGAGAAGAGGACGAGGAGGGGGAGGAGGAGGAGGAGGAGGAGGAGGAGGAGGAGGAGAAGGAGGAGGAGGACGAGCGGCAGCAGCAGCGGGCAGGGAGATATGGGGGAGCAGGGGCAGGATGACGACGGCGATGCTGCTGCTGCTGATGATTATGATGGTGGTGATGATGATGGTGGTCATGGTGACCATGAACACCACGATGATGCTGATGATGCTAACGATAATTATGAATGAGAATGATGTTGACGAGGATGCTGGTTAGGATGTAGATGAGGATGATGAGGATGATGATGATGATGATGATGATGATGATGATGGTGAGAATGGGGATGATGAGGATGGGGGTGGGGATGTGGACGAACATGACGATGAGAATGAGGATGGTGGCGATGGTGATGATGAGGTTGATGATGACTATGACCTTGGTGGTTCTGATACTGGTGACGATGATGATGGTGGTGGTGGTAATGGTGAGGATGCTGTTGATGCTGATGATGATGATGTCAATGATGATGGCGATGATGATGATGATGATGATGATGCTGATGATGATGATGATGATGATGATGATGATGATGATGATGATGATGATGATGATGATCGTGATGATGATAGTGATGATGGTGATGGGAATGATGCTGATGTTGATGCTGCTGATGACGATGTTGCTGATGATGACGGTGATGATGATGCTGATGATGATGATTATGATTATGATGATGATGATGATGATGATGATGATGATGATGATGATGATGATGATGATTATTATGACGCTGATGATGTTGTAGATGATGATGCAGAGGATGATGACGAGTATGATCATGGTTGTGGTGATAGTGGTGATCGTGAGAAAAAGGAAGAGGAGGTGGAGGTGGAAGAGGAGGATGAGGAGGAGGACATGGGGATTCTGCGCATGCAGAGCGGCGCTCCCTTTCACCGCCCGCGTGGGCAAAAGACTGACGTCATCAGATACCACGTGTTTCAGCTGCAGAGCCTCCATCACCTTCCCTCCATCTTCCGATCCTCCCCTCTCCTCCGGCTCCTCAACCCCTGTTGTCCTCGTCCTCCTCTTCCTCCCCCTCCTCCCATCGTGGTCCCTCATTCCTGTTCCTCCCCCTCCGGGCGTTGCTGGAGGATTGTCCTGGCCCAAGGTGTCCCCAGCTTTTCGCACCGTGCTCGAACCCCCTGGGACCCTGGGCCTCGTGAGGGATCCTCCGAAGGCCATCGTGGCCTCCCCGGAAATCCTGGGGGCACCGGGCCAGGGCCACCTCTGGCAACACCCGACCCCTCCGCCCTTTTTCTCCTGCATCTTTCCCTCCATACACATGGTTCGTTTCGAATTATTCGGAAGTTTTTTTGACTTTCGGGGAGGGGCAAGATCCTTTCATGTCTAATTGTTCTATCCTGGGCCTCTTCTTGGCCACTAGGGGGCCAGGAACAATTTAGAAACGAGCACAATTAGAAATGAACACGATTAGAAGTGAACGACGTGTACGTTCTTCCCATGTTTGCCCTTCCCTGTCCGTCGACACAAAAACAGCGCCGACCTGTGTGTGTGGCCCAGTCTACAGTGTTACGTTCGTTCCTGTTTCGTGGGTCATGCTCCGCATGTCGCACCGTCGGCGAGAGAAACGGGCATACAGTTGATGATGCCTCTGCTGTTGATGTGAGGACGCCCATGCTGTTGATGTGAGGCGGGAGAATACTGGGAGGCGAGGGAGGGAAGAGCAAGAGGAGGAGAAGGAGGAGGAGGAGGAGGCGAGGAGAAGGAGGAGGAGGAGGAGGAATAAGTGGAGTCTTCTTGACTTACATGCTACCGAAAAGCTAATTTGTCTGCCCTCCCAGGCAGTGAAGGCCGCCTGGGACGGGGAAGGGGAGCCCCACGTGAAGGCGTCTGACCCTGGAGTATTCCTCCCACGTTTCTGCGCGCGGCCGTCCGCCTTGGGGAGGACGCCGCGGCTACCAGGGCACATTCCGCCTCGGGCGCGGTGGGCTCGCCGTGGTATCTGCCGCGGCTCTGCCCGTGTCTCGTTAGGCGCCGGGCTCGAGGTTTGCCGTGGTTTTGCCGTAGTGTCGGTGCTGTCACGTCTATTTGGGCGCCTTCAGAACAGACCAAACAGCGTGGCGACATGATGAGGGCGGCGGTGGTACCCATGGCCGAGCCTCAATCGGTGTTCCGCCAGCTTCCAGGCCCTGGGTTCTTCCTCTCAGGGTTCCTTAGCCAGTGACCTCAGCGACTGGACATCCTTCAATTCGGAACAGCGACGTCCGAAGCCAACGTCCACGTCGGCACGACCAGAGCCAGCCGTACTCAGGCCTCCTCGGACTTGCAGCGGGGGCCTCGAGTTGGCGCCCGCTCCTGTGATTACGGAAGGCTCCGTGATCCTTGTTCTTTGCCTCATCCGTGGTTGTTTCTTGCTTGGGTCGTTCTTTCTTTGGACTCTTGAGGGAACAAGGATGGATTCGTAACAGTGCGAAAGGGATATGAATCAAACACGTCTATACCTGTACAATTTGAGGGTCATCGATCTTTGCGCAAGGCTTCTTGAAGCAATACTTCGAGACTGCACCCCGGGCGAGGAGGGGCGGCACAGGAGGAGCAGCAGCAACCTCCTATATATTCCATGTGTTTTCCTCCTAATCTTAGTCTCCTCCGCATTATCCCACTTTGCCCGGCGCAGCAGCAGCCTGAACATCCACGTCGCCAGAAGTAGCATGTTCCGAATCCCGCTGAACCCGTTGCCCTCTTCCTTGCTCGTTCTCTTCCGATTTTCCTGCTCCCCCATGTGTCCCCTCATCATGACTATTCCCCTTCATCCCCAGACCTCCGGCGTTGTGTGTGTGTGTGTGTGTTTGGTTAATGTCGTGGACCCGCGAAAGGCTGGAACTTCTGCCTGCAGCCGTGTACGGGCTTCCAGAGGCCCAAACTTTGCAGAAACCTTCCCCCGCCATGTCGTCGCAACGAGGGACTGTCTGGGTCCTCCCTCCTCCCTCGATCCCCCCTCCTCCCCACGTGCACTGAGTAGGAGGGAGGGTCCCGGGACGAGGTAACTTCTTCGAAGCATGTGACACTTCGAAAGAACAGAGCCGACGTCGGGGGTCGGGCAGATGAGGAGGGGGAGGGCCAGGAGGAGAGCCGAGGGCGACCGCGACTCGGTCGGGTGCGCCGCAGTCGGCCGCACTCGGTCGGGGCTCCGGCTCGCTCGGCTGCTGTGCGGCTCGTGCCCCTGTGGGCTGCCTGTTGGCCGGTCAGCCTCGGCTGCTGCTGGTGCTGTTGTCGGTTTTCGGTGCTGCTGCCGCCGCACACGGCTGAGGAGGAGTCGCCATGGGGGAAACAGGTCCTCAGGGAAACGGGTCCTGCGTTGTTTCATTGTTTTCGGGCTCTCGGGGCCCTTCACTGGCCTCAGGAGTGTCAGAAAGCGACTCAGGATGAAGAGCTCGTCTTGGGGGAAGACCCCGGGGTCCAGGACCCGTTTCCCTCAGGACCCGTTTTCCCCACAGGAGGAGGAAAGGGGCTTGACGCCAGTCCATAGCGGCCCTCCTGGAGGACCCTCGTCGGCATAATTGGATCCGTATCGTCCGTTCAAGGACACCTCCAATGGATGGAGGGAGGAAGGGGGAGGAGGAGGAACGGAAGGGCGGAAGCAAGGAAACTTGAGGAGGTGTAGTTTTCAGGCGTTCCCAGTGTGTTCTGGCGATGTTGGCAGGTTTTTGGGATCTTTGTGGTTCCTGCAGTTTCCGCAGGGGTGGGGGGGAGAGCGGAGGAGGAGGAGGAGGAGGAATAGGAGGAGGAGCAGGAGCAGGAGCAGGAGCAGGAAGATAGAGAGAGAGAGGGAGATTCGGCCTTGCAGTGCAAGTCTGTATACACCACATGCTACTCACTTGCTGCAGTATGCTACAGCAATCGAGCTACCTCTTACAGATCGTCCATCACGGCCGAATCGAAGTATGTCGGGGTAAAGCGCGCCGTAGAGCCCCTAATATCGTGAGTTCAGGGGACAGGTCGCGAACGTTTAAATCGTGGCAGCGGGGGGTGATGCCCCTCGGGTACCGCAGGGACCGACGCCCACGGTGCGGCGGGCACCAGGCAGGTCCCCGAGACACCCGATCTCCCCGAATTGGCCCACACCCAAGCAAGGCAGCAGCAGAGCGGGAAGGACAAAAGGACGAAGGCTGGAAGAGGAGAATGCAGACAGCAGCGACGGAAGGGGGTGTGGGGTTTGCGACCGCCCCAGAGGAAACGGAAGACAAGACGGAGGAGGAGGAGGAGACACGGTGGCGGTTGCAGACGGGCTCGTCGGCCGCAGCAGGCGACGAGCACGTCGGAATTCAGGGCTCGATGCCGAAGCGGTGCATACCGTTCAGCGTGTAAACATGAAGAGTCGGCCGTATCAGCTGTCCAAGATTGACATTCCAGACCAAGACGCAGCCACTGTAAATACTGAAAACACTCTGCCTGAGATCTCCTCAAGATGTGCAGTCGACATGCCTTCCAAAAGCATC